TAAATAAAAATTTAATTCTCTTAATATTAATTATAAATTAATGTTTTAGCGAAATATATATATATATATATATGTGTGTGTGTGCGCGTGTGTGCGCGTGTGTGCGCGTGTGTGCGCGTGTGTGTGCGCGTGCGTGCGTGTGTGTGCATGTGTACGTGCGTGTGTGTGTCTCTCTCTCTCTCCCTCTCTCTCTCTCTCTCTCTCTCTCTCTCTGTGCGTGCGTGCGTGCGTGCGTGTGCGCGCGCGTGTGTATATGTGAATGTAAAAATTCATTGATTATTCTATAACTATTATTTATTAAAATTTTTTAACCAACATGTTTAAAACCATTCTCATTATACGATTTTTTTTTACGTCCTGTAACATAAATAGTCGGAAGTGTGGCGGCTATAATAGTAAAGTACACCGACTGCGCAAAATAAATGTGCATCCCTTGAAAGTAAAAACAGTGTGCGAAAAAAAGCAATAAAATGCTGCCTTTGCGTAACCGATATTTAAATCTTTGATCCATCTAGCGTCATAACTAAGGGGTTCGTTAGCTCACGTTAAAATAAGCTGCTTAATTATTTTTCAGTGGCAAGTGAGCTGCTAGGAATAGGGAAATGGAAAATATATGGAACGAGGAAAGCTGGCAGTTCACCCTTTAACATTTTTTTATACATATTGCCATAATATGAGCTGTGCATAGAGATATTTTGGATTTATACAGTGTCACGTAGAGTGAATTAAACGGCCGTTTGCTTTTGCAAAAGAAATTGAATCATCTTCTTATCTCTGTAATTCTTGTGAAAAAGTGTAACTATAAAAGTACGTACATGCAAGCATGTATTACTTCAAGTAAGTCTAACCTAACGCCTACATTTATTATCAATGTATATGCTCAGAATCGTAATACGTGTATATTCATATATATATATATATATATATATATATAAAGTTTAGTTTCCTTGCTTACTAAGGAGATCTTATTTTTCAAAAGTTATAAATATTAATGAAAAATATAAATGAAAGGTTATATAATAATTTTAATGAATACATATTATTAATATTCTTAACAATTTTAAAACAAATATATCTTATCTTCTTCCAAATGGGTACCCAAATAATTAAGAGTTATAACATAGTTCGAAAATATTTTCTTCTTCACACAGTACAATATTTCAAATGCTTCATAAGGATATTTATCAAAAAGCATTAACATTTTTTATTTAAATTTCAATCTCAATGATTAATGCACGGTCTTGAAATTCGTCAGTAAATATGATAATTTCAATTTTATATGATTTGCTATGAAAGATATTTTCGAGAAAATTCTATATTCAGCGCGGTACTCATAATAATGGAGGTATATCATGAAACTTTTTTCAAAAAAGGTGGAATTATCGTTTGTGGTGTAACAAACGTATGTGATTCAAACGTGAGTGGCTGGTTTCACTAGATGGTAAACACTAATTTATATACGGCTTTTCATAGTGTATGAACACACATACGGATAAGTGGTTACTTTAGTGTAGAATTATTATATATTTTCATTCAATCTTATTACCAATGCTTCAGTTATGTCGAATATTACAATTAAATAGAACTGAATTTTTCAACAGACCATTTATACATAAATTATATAGATTAAATTAAATAAATAGTTATGATATTATGCATATTTCTTACGAGCATATATTCTGAGAATATATTTTTATATATTTCAGCTTCTCAGTCAAGTAATATTAAGGTACATTATATCAAGCAATACTTGTAGATTATTAAGTATTAAATGACAAGTATTTCTTTTATTTTTAAATATTTATTGAAATTCAATTACAGATTTTTTTTCCAACTATTAAATTGGTCGAACGATGTATACGGTTAGAAAGTATTTTTCTTCCCAATATGTAGACAATATAAAAGTATAATTTATATTATAAAACGTTTATATAAGAAAACAAAACAAAACAAAAAATTGAAAAATTACATAAAAAAACTAAAAAACTTAAAAACTTATTAATCTTGGAATGAAATTTATAATTCATATTTAGTTATTATTTACCCTTTAAAATTTAATTTTTTCTTGAAACTCTATTTATATACTCTATGTTACTGCAACTTATTAATTTGTTATATACACTACATTCAGCCTGATGTAATATTTAAAAAAAATAACCTGACAATTGTAGTTTGGACTATCATATGAAATAAAAATTATTTATGCGGTTTTCATTTAATGCATTTATTATTATCTTCTTTTTTTTTATTTTTACCACTGGCATTCAATTTTTATTATATTTTTATATATAAAATAATAAAATTTGGCAATTATTACAAAATACCTTTGAAGCTCTAATTAAATCCATATATTATTTTAATATTATTCAAACAAACAAATATTCTTTAATTTCAAATATTATTTTTCAAACAAACTATTTATTAGAGCGAATTATATCTTGCAATTTAATAAATTATTAAATTTATAGTCGATTTTATTATCATTCAAAATATAAGCTTAAGTAATAAAAATATATTACATGAATTTATTATTCATAAAATTAAATAAAATGTTTTTTGTTATGATTATTTTCAATTCTTTACAAATTCCATGAATTTATATCTTATATTTAATATAAAAATATATAATATTGTTTAAAATATAAGATTCTGAATACATTAGATTTTTTAAGAAATTAATTGTTTTAGGATTCCAAACAATACTTGTCGTTTATTCAAAATTATTCAACACAACAGATAAAGTACTATTTTCCTTAGACCTGAATTCACACTTACATATTATAGAAATATAATAGTTTATATTTAACAATACGAAAAATACTGAATAAATAATAATATTACAATAGCATCGGAGTATAGACATGTTTTCATACATATATATATATATATATATATATATATATATATATTACGTATATATACGTATTCCATTACATTTCAAAAATCCACAAAATATTCGATGGCATATCGTGCATTACCAAAGAAATTACAGAAATTTTCTCCCAGTCCATTATTCTTCCTTCCTCTCCTCTTATTCATTTATTCACATCATTCACACTTTCTCATTGCCTATTTTTTTCTCTCAAGTATTAAGTGCATAAAGTATATAAACACGAAATATCAGGACTTTTGATGACGAAAAGTTGCGACAATCATCATTTAGCCGCATACCTTTCTACCTATGTATATTTATACCTATATAGTCTACTTTTATACCTATGCATATGCATACACATGAATATGCACATACAAGTGTTATTTGTACAATTTTAAAGCTCCTATGAAATTGTGAGAGGATGTATAGTCAATTTTGCATGTCAGCCTCCAAATACAATATAAGAATATTTATAAAAAGAGATAAATGAAGTATTATACATATTTTAATATAAAGTCTGCTATATTGATAAAGAATTCAGGACGATTCAATTTGCGAATATTCTATTATATTTGGTACTACGTAACGAAAAGTTTAATACGTAGAAATAAACAGGTATTACTAAGTTAAATTTATTTTAAAATATTAATGAAATTATTAATTCATAATTTTACATTATTCCAGATATCATACAGAGAAGCATGTAAAATAAAAACTCTTCAATTCGAATGATCGAATTATTAATTAATTGGCTAAAAATATTATTAAGACTTTTATTTTTATTCTATAAATTGAATTAGTCCTACAATGTTTCTGTATTAAACTCGAATATTATTATTATATTAATTCATTAAGACTGTCTTAATTACATTAAATTCTATATATTAAATAATTACATTAAATTTTCTTATTTTTATTATATTAAGTTCGCCAATAACTCTATGCTAAAAATTAATATAAATCCTATAAAATACTAATGCCGTGTTTATAGCTATTAAACACGGATAAACTGACAAATAAATGTTTATGATTGTCACATTATATGATAACACATTAAATTTGTAACTAATTTCTTCATTTAATTTGTAAATTCAGAAGATAAATAAAATTCCTTTGAGACTTTAAACAATTATTGCAGTTATTTGCATTAAACACTGCAATTTGATTTTGAACAATGTGTAATAATATGAATAAATATCAGTATTATTTTACATCTCTTTACCATTCTTTTTAATAATCGTGTGTGTAACTGTGTGCATAAGCAAAAGCTTAACATGGAAACACACGTATATTTAATTTGTATATTTATATTAAGTATTAAATACACGTAGCATAATTAAATTTAATTCTCGATAATTTATAATTTTTGTAATGTAAACTTTTTGCAATAATTCAATACAATCGACAATCAGATAAATTGAGTAAAAAAATTGAATATCACTTTTCAATTTACCGTCGCGATTGTTATTATTACAAATTATTCTTTTTGAATACTCATATTCTGATTCGTAACTGACTTTAACCTAACACAAACAGGGATTAATATAACAATATAACATTTTTATTTTAATTTAACGCTTAATAATTGAAATCCCTGCATTAAAATAATATTCTTCATAGTATTTTTTAAATGAAAGTATATGAATATTGATAAAAATAATTGTTGGTTTAAGCCAGAATACACATTAAACCATGAATATTTCTAGTTTATTTTATATTATGAAAAAACAATAATCAGCAAATAGAATATACTACATTGCTTTTTTTGTTTTTCCTTTTTGTGTTATTATAATCTCATTCATAATAATTGTAATTATGAATTATGAATGATTCGAACAAATGACTATTATCTCATTTCAATATCAAGGTAAGGTTGGGTGCATTGTAGTTTTCAGAGCATAAATATGCGTATTTGAGTTTGTAAATCTTCTTAAAATACTAACATGAAATGTAAATAGCGGGTTAAAAAAAAAAAAAAAAAAAAAAAAAAAGAGGAATCGAAAGTATTAATTTGTAATTGACATTTCAGTATTATTAAAAAATCAAACATTTATGCTAACAAATTAATATAACATTGTTTTAGTCGTAAATTGCAGTAAGTTTAATGAACTTTTGTCGCACACAGCTTGCTCTGCTTTGCCTCACGGCGGTAGCAACCACGACCAGAGATGCCTTGGCGGACTTGCCGCCAGGTACCAGACGAAACACCTACCTGCCACCCGAGCCCACAAAGGGCTACGACTACAGTAAGCCAACAGGTCCGGGTTTTCCAAGTCCGAGTCCACCACCAGGGCCAACTAGACCTCCCTATACGCCGTCACGACCCTATCCTGGAAAATCCACGTCGCAAACTCCGGATTATACAGGATCGCCTAGTTCACCCGGTCACTCGGTTAGTACTTTTCAGCATTGGTATTGTTTTGAAAATAAGAGCTATTCGATAATAGAGCAGTAGCAAGTGGATATTTTCAAGACTTTGATCCTATTGTTAATATTAATTAAAATTTGTAAATATTACATGATTTTTAATCAATAGCCATGAAATGTAATGAACCGCCAATTTTTATAGGAGAATACATTTTGTCTTAATTATTCCAATTGAGTTAACTGTATTAATTAATTTCATTCCAACGGAAAAATTACTCATTGCTTCGAAATATATGAAGCTCCAATCAAGTTAATATTTATACTCTATTTATATGAGGTGGTAAATCATTCTAAAGTCTAAGTTTTACTATTGACAAATATTTTATCTAAGTGTATTATAATATGTTATTTGCGTGATTAATTTTCTACAATCTCAATAAACAAAAATTTAATGTGTATGTATAATTACATACATCATTAACAAATACCGTGGAAATCGCTTGTGTACATAAAACGCTAAAGTATTTAAAATACATTAATTAACTGGGCGAATTTAACATACAATCTATATTCATTATCACACAATTGTTAAACTTAAAATATTGTCTCACTGACGAATATTACATGCGAACGTATTTGATTTATGGCCAGTTATTACTTTCAAAATAATTCGATTTAAACTAAAATAACTGAATATAGAAAATTTTAGCTTCATTTACAATTACAAATAAGCTTTTTGATTTAATAAGATTGATAATATGCTTATTAGTGAAACTAAAAACTTTAATTAATCACTAAAATTCTGTATTAATACTTATATTATGTTATTAATAGAATATGATATTAATTAAATTACTGTATTATAGGACATTGAGTTTGTATATTAAGCGTAAAATCTCCTATTTAGTCGGATAAAGAAAAATATTTATCTTACATTTATAGTTAAATATTTATTTATTGGATTATATATGGACAAATCAATAGATTTGCAATATCTTAAAAATTTTATTCATTAATTGTGCCTCGTATTGTATAATTTTACAATAAATTTTAAATAATAATCCACATTGCCGAAAATATTATTGATGCTTATAAACTAACTTATGTAACTTGAAGAATTGTTTTTCACTATTAAATCATGTCTTTTTACTTTAAAGATTATCGACGGGCATTTTCATAATAACACGAGAAGGCTGAATAGCGAGTAAACATAATATTAATAATTTAGAATATTAGATTAAGCAAACTAGAGAATACTAAAAAAAAAAATAAGAGGTATTTATATTTAATATTTATTAAAGCAATAAATATAAACTGAAGTATATAAAATTTATCTATCCAGCCCTTCATCGCTAATTCGTCAATTCGTTTAAATACATCGTTACTCATACTACCACATTATACTAGTTACTATGTACAAGTGGTTATGCAAGTGCTACACTTATTTCTCATTCATATTTAAATGGCTCTCTCTCTCTCTCTCTCTCTCTCTCTCTCTCTGTCGGAGAACTTTTGGTCAGCTCGTATCTCGACTTCTGGTACAATACAAACGACCAAGCAACGAACAGCGGCTACAACAATGGCCTTACCCCCATATTTTTTTTTCTCGTTATGCTGCACCTCACTCTCGCGCCTAAACGGACACACACGCTCGTCTTTTTCAGTCGAGCTTTTTAAGAGTCACGCGATATCGGCTTCGCACGAACACGTAACGATGCGCGCCCACACAACGAAGCCCCAACAAAAATACAACTCACCGTATCCCGAGCGCATACGGTGATCCTCGCATGTGGTAGTGCCTGCGCTAGTACCCGTGGCAATGGCTGTGCTGCAGGTGGCTTGAGAAAGAGGGAGGGAGTTACCGTTATAAGCCTTTTAAAGGTATTACCATCTCTTTCTTCGGATCCTCTATTTTATTATTCTTATATCTGCAGTTTGCAGAATCCTCGCGTTAAAGCGGATATAATCATATTTGTGTACTTTATCGGCTGATTGGGGATGTGACTTTTATTAACACTGATAAATTTGATTAATTTTTAAGGTATTTGGCTGCCTAACATCAGATTACGATAATTACTTTCCATTCGTTTCTTAATTCAATGCTTTAAGAACTCGTATTCCCTATTCATGAATAACCAACTTTTCAAGAAACTTTTTATTTCAAGGTAGGCAATACTTCATGCTGCACTAAAGAATTTTCTAAGATGCGAATTCTGATTCGTATCAATAACAAATTTGTACTTTCACAACCAGAAAGGTACTTGAATGAATTATTAGTTTTCCTTAGTTACCGCGAACAATGTTTCTTTTTTTTTTCTCCCTTTATCTTTTTCTTAGTTTTTTCTTTGTTTTTCATTGTTATTTTTGCTTTATTGTTTGTTTTTTGTTTTTAATTTTGTTTTTAGTTTTGTTTTTTTTTCTTCTTTCTAGTAATTTAAAGTAATTTCATAAGTATTATTGTATTGAATAATTCGCATTAAATTCCATGTTATCCAAGTATAAATCCCATGATAAATGGAATACGAAGCAAGCAACGAATTAATTAAATTTGAAAAAAAATTTTTTAAATTAATATTTTTTAATTCTTTTACGCTCGCGCTATCTACGACTATTACAGCTTTGCGCTCCCCCACAAAAGTATTTTGCCTAACAAGTAAGCGAATGAGCGAGCGCGCAACTTGGCTTTGTAAGCACCAGAACTGAAAGCCGCGCGTGCCGTGAAAAATATAACGGAAAAAGTACGATTCATTTTGAGCTGCGGCTCTTTATTTTGTTGCGTCTCCTCATCCTTGATGTAATTAAAACGCTGAAACTTCAGTTCACTTTACTTTATTAAAATTCTAAAAGGGATAGATATACATTAAACAATCCGAAAAGAGGAGTCCTACCCATATTTAATTAATTAAACGCATGACAGGATAGACATCGGTTTCCCATTGTTATAATGTGATGTTAAGGGATGAGATACAATTAAATCATTAAATTTCCAAGTCGGTATTCGCATTACATATTTTAACTCTATGATTTCAATTATTTCGATACTTCAAATAATCACTAATCCCTACAGATTCAAATGTTTTTCCACGTACTCGCGTTTAAATAAGTAGATTCATCTCAATCATATATCCTCAAGTTAAAATTTTGCATTATATTCCAATATAAAAGATTCCCAATTAAAATATAGAAGCTTAAAATTACAATCATTTAATCTACCCGAACTCAAGAAGAAAGTAACTTTAAACCAAGTTTAATAATTATCAAGCGATAAATACACTTTAGATTAAATATGCATACATTATTATTATCCTAGGATTAAACTTTCAGCGAAAAATTTATTTATTTTTAGTCTATTGTTTATTTATACTATTATATATAGCAATATATTATAGATATCAATATAACTGATATTTATTTATTAATAAAAGTGTAAAATCGAAAGGAAGCATAAGAATATACATAAGAATGAGATGAAGGGAGTAAGAAATACAGAGTGGGAAAGAGAGAGAGAGAGAGAGAGAGAGAGAGAGAGAGAGAGAGAGAGAGAGAGTGAATTCGCAAATGTATTTGGGTACATACCTATAAAGTAAAAGGTGCATATGTACAAAGTAAAAAAAAAAACAGCGACGGAAAGGAAGAGAGAGAGAGAGAGAGAGAGAGAGAGAGAGAGAGAGAAAGAGATGAGACTATTAGAGACGTCTAAAGTCCTTATCTACTGACTTTTTACAATGGTACAGAGTAAAATTACAATCGGTCTCGCTCAAATAAACTTCCTCTCGTCCATTCTCATTATTCTGTTCACAACGAGTCACATAATTTGAGTCACGAATAAATGCAGCCGTAGACGCAAACGCACATATAGAAGCAGCCGGAGCGGAGGTATTCGCGTAGAGAAAGAGCCGCGTCCGTCATTCGTGCCGAGTAAAGAGTCAAAGGAGAGAGAGAGAGAGAGAGAGAGAGAGAGAGAGAGAGAGAGTCACGCCGCAGCCGCGGCTGGCCCCGATAGGAAATAATTTAGCTGTCCGCGTTCACCTACCACTAATGTACGTAAGCTACCGCCGCTGTTGTTACCGGCGCTGCTCTTACTGCGCCGTTGCTCCGGCTCTTCTTGCTCCTTCTAGCGCTACTCGTCCTATACGGGAATTTCTGATTTATTATTGGCCAAGGAGCGAGCAGTACGACCGCGAGGATGACCGCGGCGATCCGCTCCAAAAGTAATAGGAGCCCCGCGTGGCCCATCGATCTTTCCTCGCTATTCGACGTGCGCATACTTAATCCCGGTTATTAATAATAATTATTTCATGACCTGCGCGGCCCTGTGCCACGGTTATGAAGTCAAGAAGACTTCTTAATTCTGATCGATCGCTTCCGACGGACGCGCTAAAAGATGGGATGAGGAAAGAGGAAAAGATAAGCGGCGCTGCTGCGGGGGAGACTGGCTTAGAGACTCGTTGGGACTACCGCGCACAAAGAGGCAATTGTATGATCATCGTTGGCTATTTTTGAATTGCGTCATATGGAGTGCATAATTCATAAAATACATGCTAGGTTTCGCAAGAGTCGTCGTGTAATACTCCTTACGTGCTTCTATTGCTCCTAGTTTGCAGCTGAAACAACAGATGTAAGATTAATCGTGTAATTTGTTCACGATTTATCGATCAGCGATTAAAGGACGCGTTCGATTTCACGCAAAAAAAAAAAAAAAAAAAAAAAAAATATCTAGCTGATTAAAATTCTCATATTTCATTGTTATATTTTAGTGGGAAAATGTTGCCACCACTAACTAATTTTTTTTCTTTCTTTCATTTTTATTAACATCTTGCTCTATTAAAATAAAAATTAAAAAATCCTTGAATTTATTTAGACGTTCAGACATGAATTCACTTAAATAATAAAGATTTTTATCGATCTGTATTTTCTACGTTTTCCTATGCCATTCTCTTAAATATATTTCTATTTGAAAATTCATAAAATTACCGTTCCTCGAATATCTAATAATTAAAAAACATTTGTTACAATTCACTTGTAACAAATCACAATGCATCAACGCTATTAGGAGATAACTGTCTTCTCCATATCCAGTGAAATAGTTTAGAAATTTCTCAATTGTAATTGCAATATTAAGTGGATAAAATAAAAATATTCATTCGCATATAAAATATGAAAGCCTTGAATTATTATATATCAAAATTTTTATACGCAAGTCTACATTATCTTAGAATCTATTGAATATTTTGCTAATTAAAATATTGTTTTGCCTTTGACAAAAACTTTTATTTATATCTGAGCAATAAATCTTAAAAATAATATAATATTTAGCATATGAATATAATTATAATTTCGCAACGTATTATTAACATTATTTAAAAATTATATTTCATACAGATATAATGGAGTTTTTAAAAACAAATTCTTATGTTTTGAATTCATAGCTAAAGCATAATAATAAAAATCGATCATTCAATGTCGAGCTGAAAAATAAAATACTCTCATTATCAGGAATTTATCAGGAAAATTCTAGTTTCAATTCTATGTATTTCAATTGCATATGAATTTTATTAAAATTGAAAATGTATGCATGTAACAAGAGTATATTTTACTTAAAAAAAAAATATATATATATATATATATTACCTATTGAAATAAAAAATATCAAATTTCTTAACAAATATAATGCCACATACTTTTGCCTCTAAAATATCATTTTCATATATTTCTAATTTACATTTTTTAATGAAGTATTTGCAAGTTTTTCAATTTTTCAAGTTATTTCTTTACTAATTATTAATATTCTTACGTAAAATATTTTCATTGAAATGTATAACAATCAAATAATTAATGTACTCAGAGATAAAAGTGGGCAGAATTATGGATAAAGTACTTTAATGTTTTAATACACATATTTAATTAAATAATAATTTTACATATGATTAAGCAACCGATTTATAATACTTTAATTGTATTTTACAACCAAATTAATTTATTTGCTTATTTATGTACTACGTTAATTAAAACCATGTGTACTTTGTTTAAATTTTGTATTAAATATTTAAACAAACATTAATAACACATTAAAATTGTAAAGATTTATTAAATTTAAAATATTCAATTAAACTAATACTCTCATTAATCAATATTATATTATGTTTTAAGAAGAATTTGTAATACGTGTTTTATTTAATTCTTAAATATCCTAATAATTTATAAAATTTTCAACTTCTTGTTTAGAATTAATTATTGACTGTAAGCTTAAAAAATTAAAAAACTTCTATCTACATTGGATTACATGTATATAAATGTATATAAAAGATTACTTAAGAGCTTATTAATTTGACAATTTAATATTAAAGGATTGTAGCCCTATCGATATTCCTAACAATTAACTAAAAGAACCACAAGCATATATTTCCCATACCTCCGTCCAGTGGAAAGTCGTCCATTTATTTATTCGAAATTATTATTGAAAGGTTAAAAAGTGAAGAATGTTACTTCTGAGTTGAGGGTAAAGAGGGAAAAACACCGTATTCTTCATTACGAGCATAATAGGTGTACGACCTGCCACGTATACTTGAGCAAAATCCCGTGACACACCAATCAACCTTCACCCAACAATTTCCTGCACCCACACCCGCACGTACAAATGTGTGACCTATCATTGCAAAAGCCCATCGCATACTTGCAAGATAAGCATCTTGAATTTATCGAGAGGGGAAGGCTAGGGAAAATACATAAGTGACAAGCATCACCATAGATGCATTGTAATGCGATTCGATCGGTTGCGCGCACGCGCGCACGTACACTGCCATATTCCTACGTAAGGTGCCGTGCGAGTGGACATACGAAGGCTCATGTATACACCCATTGGTAGGTCAGAAGCTAGAAAAAATTGAAAACATTGCTAATTCAACCTTGTACGCTTCTCTGCCACTATAAATTAATATCGCTGAATATTCCGTTAATTAATCTATCAGCCAAAGAAGCTTCGATCAGCCTCGTAAAAAATCAGGCTGTCACTCTTAATCTCACATGATTTAAAAGTCCACTAATGACTGCGGATAAAAATAAATCGAAACAAACACGTACATAAGAGCTCGGCAACTCTTATTTACTTGACAAACTTGCGTGCCAAGCAATCGCAAATTTTGCCACCCTTTGTTGCGTGGTCAGTGCCCGGTGCATGTCTCATGTGCCACAGAGATATTTTTGCGCGACAAGGCAGCTTTTCTGTGATCACATCCGCCTTAGTTCTCTCGCCATCTAACGCTTCATCATTTCGCTTGATAATAATATGATCGAATCTCGCAATTTGCCCGAAGATATATCGGAGCCTGCACTATGAGACCTAATGGCGAAACCCAACCTTATGACAATCCAAAGTTCCCTGATTAACTCTACTTAGATTTGTAATTCAACAATTATCGCTATCAGTGTATTTCTTCATTATCTTACATTAAATCTTAATTCGAGTCACAATTGTCAACGTTCTTTAAATCTTAATCGACACGATGAATTACAAAAAAATAATTCTTAATAGCTAATTGTTATGGTAGAATATATTATTTATATGGTATTAGAAATTGATAAAACTATAGATTCTTAATCAAAAAGAAAAAATAAGAAAGGAAAAGAAAAGAAAAGAAAAGAAAAGAAAAGAAAGAGAAACACAGAAAAAATTCAATATGATATTCCGAGATTAAATATTAACATGAGAAAACATAAGAATTTTATTTTTACTAAAATCAGCTAATTATAACTTCAGAATATTTCTTAATTTATAATTTATCTAAAGCTTGGCAATACCTTAACCTTTTTAATAAAAAAATAAATAATAAATAAGTAAATAATTAAGTAAATAAATACATAATAATAAAATAAAATAAGTACCAATTATAATGAGTAATATAATAATATACTAAAATAATAATAATATAATAAATAAATAATATAATAGTGTTTTAAAGAAAATAATATTTTTATGTAATATCAAATTCTAATTTTATATTACCTTTATTTTTCTCAATATTCTTTTGATCGTACGAATAAAAATCTCTTATTTACTGTATATTTCATTCTACTTCAAACTATTATATCTTAAAAATCTAAAATGAAAAAAATTTATATATGAATCAAGATAAAATATATCATCTGTTAAATAAGAAAATTAATATTTAATAATTGAAGGTCCATTTTCATTTCACTCTAAATAAGTGGATTGATTATAAACCCCCATTATAAACCCCCCCCCCCCCCCCCCAAAAATAGAGGAAAAAAGACAGAAGAAATAAAATTATTTACAAAACATGTATTTCAATATAAAACCATTGTAATAACAAAAAAATACTATCAAGAAAGAAGAAAACAATGGGGAGGGAATCTTGTGATTGTCTATATTGATAGGTACAAAATAAATAACTGGCGAGATGTTAGAGAGAGAGAGAGAGAGAGAGAGAGAAATGAAAATAAACACCGAGAGAAATAGCTAGGCACGCGTACGATGGGTAAATTGAACAGGCTTTGAACGATTTGTACATTCGTCGCTAGGAAAAACGACACGCACGCGCATCCTCACGATCCCTCGCGAATCAAATGTATTAGAGTCTCTACTAATACTTTTTTTTTTTACTAGAAATGCGAGCTCCGCAGAGATTCGCAAGGAATGTAATTTCAATCCAACATATGTCGCGTGTGTATCCATTGATTTGTATGGTATTCGTGTATGCCACACTAACCGGTATGGAATCGCTCAAAATTAAATATCAATTTATTATCGAAATTTCCGAGAGAGAACGAAACAAAATAGGCTATTTCAGGGATATGAATATTTCGTAAAATATTTATCGCAAATCGAAAAGCAGTACAAGAAAATGCTACTTCAAACTAAATAATATTGCTTTTAAATTTTCAAATAACTTTAAAACTAATTTTGACAGTAAATTGACGGACGATGACGAGCGTGTTTAACCGTCTAAAATGAGTAAATATTAACCTTCTCATATATATATATATATATTATAAATAACTTTTAAATAACGTTGAGAAAGAACGTTATAAAAAATTTAATTTTATATAAAAAAAATTGCTTTATAGCTATACGTCGTTCGATATTATTCTCATTGTTTGAACTACATCAATGTACGTTGTAATTGAAAGGTGAAAAAGTAATAATGACATTTTCAACCTGACGAATTAAGAAGCGCACCTCGACACATAAACCGATGTGTAATTTTACAAGTACATCCTAATGTTTCATATTGCAAAATGAACCGCGAGCACAGACGACGATATGAAAATCAAAAATTAAAACTAAACTCCAGTGATTACAATAATTCACCACCATTTCCAAACAATTATATAATAACCATATCTCGACGACCACCACTGTTCTTATCACAGCCAAAATACTCACGGTGGTGCATTTTTCTTTTGTTTTTGCTTTCAGCAGCACGAGGACGGTCATGTGCACGAGCCCGGTATGCCCTTCGACTTCAATTACGCAGTGAAAGAGGACACTTTCGGCAATGATTACTCCCACAACGCCATAAGCGACGGGGACGTGACGACGGGGGTCTACCGGGTCCAGCTCCCGGATGGTCGTACCCAGATCGTCCGTTACACCGCCGATTGGAAGCACGGCTTCACGGCACAGGTCTCCTACGAGGGGACGCCGCACTTCGATCCCCCGCGCCCGATCGGACCCGGACCCGGGTCCGGTCCCGGCAGCTTCCAAGGCTATTAGAGCAGCGCGATCAATCCGAGCGATTACGCCGAGGCTCCCAAGTGCTTTGGAGCGAGGCTCTACGCCCTTAGCTTCGAGTGCGATCAATGCCTCCGGTGCGGTGACTCACTCGGGATATATATTTTTACATTGCTGAATCGTGACTTGCCGCCTATCTTGCCCTCAAATCTTATTTTTTGCGGATTTCAGTAATACAGCTGAGCTAGCAATAATATATTATCTGTAGTAAAGAGCCAAATTTTCTCAGCCTAATCCAGTGCTCATTCTGATATTAAAGACGACGACAACCTGTTACGAGTAATATGAATCTTAAAAAGCTTTCTGCTCTCTTAAGCTGAGCAGCTTTCAAACGTTCCGCTCGCATTACTGATGCCCGCTCTAAGATATTTCGGGGAGCAAATGAGAATAGAACATTCCTTGACATTCGTACCTTATTTTTAATAGTGGATAAGAGCGTTAAGGTAGAACTTTTTTTGCACCTATAATTGATCGGACTTGTCATTACTCGTAGAATCATGACAATTTTATGAAAGTAAGGAGGAGTAATGATGAGAACAAAATTTAAAAACATTTGTACTTTTTGTGCGTTAAAGCTGTGTACTGCAATTGTCCTTGAAATTTCGAATATTTTCAGAAAGAAACGACATAAAAAAAAGGCAATCCATTTTATATTCAAATATTTGTTTAAAAATCCAGGACTTTGTAATATTTCATCCACAATTTGCAAAAATTTTCAACTTAAAACTACCTTTTATTTTTCCTGAGAATAAACATTTTTCAATTATTATTTCTTATCATAGAGTTTCAAAAGAATTATCCTGATTATATGAAAGAGCATTAAATATTTTTATATGAAATCATTCACTCAATGTATATTTACAGAATACAGTAACATATTATAAATAAATAAATATATATATATATATATATATATATATTTTTTTTTTACTTTAGTATGATATACACAATACTCCTATATGTAAAATCCATGTGATGGAAAATAAACACTTAATTGCTATAATTACCATTTGCTGTACGTCTTCTTTTCTGTCGTATATGTTTTGTTTGTTTTTCTTATAATAAAATATATTCTAAAAACAAAATACATTTATAATTTAGAAATTGATGAACATAAAATATATAAACTATAAATATATTATAACTATATTATAGCTATATGTTATGATTACATGATATATATATATATATAACTCATACCCTACATCCTGAATGAATACATAATTTTGCAGAATAACTATTATAATACTTTATTTACCTTCTGATATTTATTTATAATATAAATAAATTATAAATACAAATGATATATTTTTATATATCTTTTATATATATATATATATATATATATATATATAACAAATCAATGTTATAGATGTAAAAAATGCATTTTCAAATCTATACATCTCATCAAGATTATAATCGCTTTAGTCTAAAAATATCAAAAAGGAAAAGGTGATTCTATAACCTCGCAAAATTCGATGACCTCCATTTACATTTAACCCTCCACTTCCTCGCCTTATCTCGCCCTGCAACTTTTCAACCTCACCATTCACTCTCTATCTTGCTTTGCACCAATCTTTTCTTTACTTTATTTTCTTTATTTTTTTCTCTCAGTGTTCTACGAACTTCAATAAAAATCTCTCAAGTCAGACAGTGGCGGTACCTCCTTGCGTTAGTCTTTGCCTTTCGAATCCTCGAACAAATCGCTTCAACCAACGACCTTCCTCTCCTGTCGCCTTTTTCTCTTTCGTCTTTCATTCCAACCATCTGCCTCCTTCTGTCTTTACCTTTCACCTGTTTTATAGTCTTGTCTATGCTCTTCACCCTCTAGTGATATAAGAAGGGAAAAGTATATATGCACGGAAAATTCGAGAAAAAGCAAAGATTATGGAGTGTGTGTTCGAACAATTTAACCAAAATTCATTATTACAGCTGTACAAGAGTATTAATCAAAGATTTGCAATTTAAAGGGACCTTTATTGCGCTGAAAACTAATATTTTTCAATATCAAACCATCGTTGCTCTCTGATAATATACTAAGTCCATTGCCAAATCTACATAATTTCTTCTATTTCATTTGAGATTCTTAAAAATTTGTAGTAAAAAGTATGAATTTTTACATTTGATATATAAATTGTACATGTAAACAAATGTAACATTCACATTAAATAAAAAGATTTTTAATAAATTTTTTTTTTATTTTAAGATACAAAAAAAAAAAAAAATAAATAAATAAATACAAAGCCATTTGTATGTAGTATTTGTCTCTTGAAGTCTAGGAAAAACTATTTAAATCTGTTTTTCCACTTATAAATGACATTAACAGATTATTACAAAGATTTTTGTAGAAATACTTGTGAAATTTGAAACGATTATTATTATTGAACTTGCACGATATATCATCTTAAAACTTTTAAATTTAAATACGAATTCACCTGTTATTATATCTCTATTTAAATATTGTTTTTAATCAATGTTTAAAAATATTATGTCGCACTATTGAACTTTATATGTAAATGACTTAATATAAACGAAATCTTTAAATCATAAACATAAAATTAAGTGCAACTTTATAATTTCGTCAATAATTTCGTATTAATTTAGCATTAAAAATGAACATAAAAACAGTGAATAAAATCTTACATTTAATATTATACCTTTCGAGAAAAAATGTCAAAAATATCCTTCATCGCACGTATGCATAAATAGGGTGAGTGTATATATGATTGTAATAATTATATTATTACGAATATTCAAACTCAAAATCATTTTTCTACGTTCGATCGCATCATGCACAAGCTTGAAAACTCCATCCTGTTTCACATCCTTGTCGTCGAGTGCGCTCTCATGTGCACACGAGTAATAGAAAATAATTAGTTAAAGCACAGGGTGGCGGGGGGGGATTCGCTTGCCTATTCGAGCATATTGCAAACGACCTTTAAGGACTTGGCAAGTCATCCTACCTACACCATTCAATGACGAGTCAATCCTATCGAAAACAATGGGCTACCTTGAATAGGCGGAGGATACGGCGGAGGCTGCATCGATGCGCGTGAACTTATATGCACGGGACCTCGCTTTCACTCTAGACCCGTGGGAAGATCAGATTCCTGTTTATTACAGGGATTTTCATTTCGCTTGGCAAACGAGGAGTACCGGGCACACATGATTATTAGTATGCAAAGACGGCTGTGGAAATTACGCCGATACACACACCCACCATAGAGAATCAACTAGGGCTACTGAACTTGACTACATACAGTTCACGCACAAAGAGGAGTTACATTGTTGATAAGGAGGCTATACTAGCTTTTATAAAATATGCACGAAAGGCTTAATTTTGTCGCTCAACACGATGATACAAATAACGATGAAATCTATGTTTCTAAGCGACGTAATTATCTTCTACACTGAATACAACTTGTATTTCACATTCCATTATTTTTCTCGTTAATAAAAGTAAAGTAGCAATTTCTTGTGTCTCTCATAATATGATTTCGAAAACTATTATTATACACACTGATTAAATTCTAATATTACATTAATCTAAAAATACGCTTTTAATTATTTGTTCAGCTTAACGTACATTATTTACAATAGCATTTTCCACCAATAATTAATAAATATAACAACAACAACAACAACAACAATAATAATAATAATAGAATTATACTAATAATAAATAAATAATAGCAAAATAAACGGAAAACTTTTGAAAATTCTTATTAAAGATAGTACACTTTATTTCCTTGAAATAGAGTCCAATTTAAAGTTTTATAATTTATTCTGCATTAATATAATTAAACGAAATTGAATTTTTTTTTTCTTTATAATTCATTAAAAACGATACTCTACCTACATAAAATGTTATACATCTTCTTATATATGTAAAAAAAAAAGTATTGTCACTGGACAGATATGTGTTTTTCTGAATATGTAGCCAAGCACTGCTTCGTAATGAGCCCATCGCCATTAAGAGGAATGAAAAAAGTCAGAGAGTTTTATTTTTAGGTGAAAATGGTGGACAGAAGTTTCTACTTTATTACGTAGAGTAACTCATTTTTACTAAAATTTATAAAGTCTACATTGTTTAAATAGTTTTCATTATACGGTACAACAATTTTAAGTTTCATCACATTAATAATGTTATAATTATTAAATACATAGATCATGCATTTTAAATTAAATATTATTTAAAAAAAAAAAAAAAAAAAAAAAAAACATTAAAATAAAAACTAATTGTTTAATTATTGTTCGGTTACAGCTTGTAATTTTTTTTTTTAACATTAATCGTTCTTTGATGATGCTAATTAAATTTTTAATAATTTAAAAATTTGCTTCTAGCTATAAGAGAAAAAAAAATGTTTCATTTAAAAGGTACTTTGTGTCTGAGATTATTTTTTCAAATTATAATAACAGTAGATATATTTGGAAAAATAACAATATGAAAAGAAAAATTTTTACTTTTATGATACCCTTATTACTACGGTAATTGCAACAACAATATTTAACATATCTTGGTAATGTATTCTATGAAAAACAAAAACAAACAAAAAAAAACAACAACAAAAAGAAAATTATAGTAGAAATATTATGAAGCATTAGAATTTTTCGCCATTAATAATGCTAAACTTATTAATAAATTTAGAAAAAGTATTGTAACAATTATTATGGCTTTACAGATTATTATTTGATTAATTCCGTTTGATATATTATTATGACTATAGGCAAAAATCTCTATATCATCAACTTTTTAATTTAACAAAAAATTATGACCAAATCGTTGTTCTATTTATATATTGCAGAGCATTTTATTTCCATTATAGTATAAAGAGTGATTATAAAATTATTAACAAAAAGCTTGGAATACATATATCATATTTTATGAGCATTGACTGATTAAATCATACGCTATGTACAACACTATTTTTTTCTTTTTTTTTAATATAGTATGTTAAATAATAAATGATGAAACCATTAGA